AGAAACAAGATTGGTAGACATGTCAAGAGCAGTAGCATTTAAGATGCAATTAAGAGAATTAGAAATTAAGTAATAAATTGTTTGGGTAGAAGGACAAAGAGTTCAGTATAATGAAGAGCTAGTTTGATTGCATTGGTGACAGAGAAAAGAATAAGAGAAATTATGTTTGTGAAGAATGTAAGAAATAGGTAGTTCATTCAAGAGAATTTTAATATGAAAGGTTTTAAAATAAAGGAATGAAAGCTATAGGCAAAGTTAGAAACTTTTTGATTGTTATTAATGTAAAGCCAAGTGACTTTCCAGTTGATATTAGAAGCAATAGTAAACCATTGTTGAAAATAATATTGAGATGTTCAAAGTATTATGATATGAGCTTGACAGATAGTATAAATGGAGTATCAAATAAGAATCTTAATAAGAAATTGGTCAATAAATGGAGTGTAGGCAGAATTGTAAGGATTATTAGTTATGAATATTAAAAAGAGTAGTATGAGCAAGTTGGTCAGCAAGGTTATTAAATGGGTCATCTTGGTGTATAGTAACTTTGTAAACAGTAAGCTAAATGTTGTATAAGTTAATAAAATTGATAAGAGTTTGCCAAATAGAGAAGTATGAAGTATGAATATGAGAAAGTTTGAATGCTAATAAGCAGATATTATAATATTTGGAGATAACAGATTGTGAATCTTAAAGATATAAACAGAACAGTTTCTAAAAGCAGTTATAATTGCTGAAAGAATAGTAAAAATTTTAGCTTTAAAGAAGCATGACCAAAGTTTGACTTGTACCTAGAATGAGTAAATAGTTGCAGAATTATCAACTTGAATCCAACCTATGTTCATAAAGCATTGAAAGGTACCAAGCTTGATAACAGAACCATCAGTATAAAATAAAATAATGATTAGGTTATGTTTGGAATTAGTAATAGACTGTAAGCTATCAGTAAGTTGGTTAGACTAAAAAATGCAGATTAATTGTTATGAGTTAATTATTAGTGAAGAAAAAGATGAAATATGTAAAGAATGTTGAATAGCAACAGAGTATGCAATATCAAAAAAATTGGCATATAGGTTAAGAGTTTTGTCAGTGTTAATATAACAGAGTAGTTTTGTAACCAGGTTTGTAGAAATAAAGATAGTGCATTTGTTGGTGATTATATTAGAATTAAAGTAATATTTAGAAGATAATGTAGTAGTAGAGAGGGGAGTAGAATATAGGTTTGAAAACTGAAACTAATATAAGCAGTGCCAGTGAGTAATAAAGATAAGGTCTGTAGAAATATTATGTCTTCTAGCCTTGCCAATAATTATTTAGTTGTTAAGAATAGTAAGTAGCCAAGGTTTTGTATTGAAGGTGAAGTAATCAGTAATACATATCTCTACAATAAATTATCAGATTTTGGTATAGCAGTAACAATCATTTTTAAAGATAAGTATTTTCAAAAAGCCTTTTGTTTCTCTTTTTGGCCAAGGCACAATTGTTAACTATATTTATAAAAACCAGATTTTTTTCTAGATTTTTTTTGTACCAAACATGCATAGAAATGAATTAACAAATGAGCAAAGAGACCAAATAATTGATGCTTATCTTGCAGATTCAAATGCCTTAAAAATATTAGTTGTGCTGAGTATTGCCTGCACAACAGTATATGAAACTATAGATCATTATAAAAAAACTGGTTCTTCATATCCTAAAAAATGATTTGGTCATTCAAAAGCCCTTTTATTCTATGACCAACATTTCTTACAAAGAATTATTTTAAAGAATAGATTTTCACCTCTTAATAAAGATACAAATGAATTAAATCTCAATTTTAATACAACTTATCATCCTAATACCATTTATAATTATCTTTATAATCTTGGTTTAAGAGGTCATATTGCTTATTTTAAGCCTTTTTTAAAGCATAAAGATCATATTAAATAATTAAAATAGTGTCAAGCAAAACATAGTTGGAATGAGAAATGAAAATGTATTGTTTGGTCAGATGAATTAAGGTTTGCTTTATTTAAATCTAATGGATATGCAAAAGTATAATGAAGAGTAGATGAAGAATATAATATAAACTGTATTAAACCTACTTTTAAATATGATGATGAATCCATAATGTTTTGAAAATGTTTTGGAGATGTTTTGGTTAGGATGGTGTTGGACCATTAGTAGTAGTTAATAAAAAGATAGATTGAGACATATATGTTAATGTTCTTGCAAATAATTTAATATCATAGATATGCAACAACCCAAATTTAGTATTTTAACAAAATTTGGCTCTATGTCACATAGCACAATATACAAAATAGTGGATGGAAACACATAGTATTCCAATTTTAGATTGGGTTCTATATAGCCTAAATTTGAACCAAATTGAACATCTATGGAATTATCTTGATTGTCAAATTCGAAAAAGAAAACCCTTGTTCAGTTCAAAAAATAAATTAATTAAGACCATATAAGAAGAATAGACAAAGATACCTTTAGAGGTCTTATGCAATCTAATTTTAAGCATACCTGACTAAGTCAAAGCTATCTATAAAACTAAAGATCAACATGTTGAATATTAATTTTTTTTAATTTAATAAAAAATAAAGGCATTATTTTATATAATATTAGACTAAAATGTTATATTTTTTTTATAAAAATAAAAAATTAAGGTTAAAAGATCAGTGATCATTCTTATCACATGTTCTATATCTAGTAATTTATTGTAGAGATGTGTATAAGAAAAGTAGTTTGTTTGAAGTAGATTAAAGTAATTATATAGAGTACATTGGTAAGAATAGCCTGTTGTAATGTCATCAAGAATAGTAAACTATTGAGGTACAACACCTTTGGGAAGCTTATTTAATCTAGAGGAAATATGTTTTTAGTGTAATAAGCATGAATTATCATATGTAGTGAGTTGGTCAAGAAAAAGTAATTTGTGATATCTAAGTTGTTTTTTGAAAATGGAGTATTTGGGATAAGAGAAAAGAAGAGATTCAAGAAAGATAGCTTTATTATTTAGAGTAAATAGAATGTTATAAGTTGAATTAGTAGAAAATGTCTAGCCAATATGCTTGATAAGCTGAATAATTTTAAAGTTTGTAGTTAGATGGTTGGAACCATCAATAATAGAATCAGAATATAAAAAGATATTGGTAAGAGACCAAAAATTGTTTTGTAACTATTAAATTCAGATGCAAGTTGATATGCCTAATAGATTAGAATTATTAAGTTGTTTAAGAAGGTTAAGAATATAGTGTTTTAGTTAGATGTTCCAAATGTGTTTGATGTTGTAAATTTGGTAATGTAAAAGGGACTAGAAGGTATTGTATAGCAAAGTTTAGCTTTAAGTTTAATAAGACTGATATGCTGAGTAAAGATTTTATTGCAAATAGACTAACTAACTACGATGTTTTGAAGATGATATTTGAGAGTAGAAATGATAACTGTATTGATAATATAACAGGCATATAAGTTAGTAATACATTTGGTTTTAGCAATTTGAATGAGTTGAGAAGATTCAGCAATAAGCAGTTTTGTTTGTTTAGATTGCCTATTGTCCAAGATGAACCAGCAATCTAAAAATTTAAAAAGTTGTTTAGGAGAATGTAGTAGAAGAAGATAATTATTATAGGGGATAGGGATGTAGTGAGATAGAGAGTTATTAGTAATCAGAATAGATTTTGTGAGATTAACTTGAATGTTAACCATAGCATAAAATGATTCAGCTATAGATAATATATTGGAAAACTTAGTTTGTAATGAAGCATCCCAAAGAGTGTCATCCATGTATGCCAAAACAGAGCATTGTTTTTGTAATGAGTTAAATGTTTGGAGTTTAAGATTAGTAGCCCAAGAGGATTGTAAAATATAACCAGGTATTTGTGTATGTATGTATGAGATAAGTGGATCGTAGTATATGTGCCATAGTAAAACAGTAATAGTTTCACCTTGGTTAATACTATTGTAAACAAGGTATAAAAGAGTAAGGCCAAGATTAGTAATAACTTGATTGTAATGATCAGTTAAGAGATCAAAAAGAATATTAATAATAAATGAAAGAAGTATCAGACAAGAAAGTAAATATTTAAAAAGAGTAAAGTTGACAAAGTCATATGCTTTACTTATATCTTGTAAAAGTAGCCAAATGTTCTTATGATTGCAAGTAGCATCTTCAATAAGATTATTGAGGATATGAATAGGAATTGAAGTGCTATTATTAGGAAGTGCAATATAATTAAAAGGTAAAAGAATAAGATTAGAAGAAAATATAATGCTTAGTCTGTTTGTAAGAATTTTAGTATATAGTTTGTAAATATGTTTAATAAGACTAATAGGTCGAGTAAGATTAAGATTACTATCAAAGGAGTTACATTTGGGAATAGGATAAATTTTGCTATATTTCCATTGCTTAGAGATTCTATTTTCAATAAAGCAACAGTTAAAGAGACTAGTAATAGTAGAAATGTATTTAGGACTAATGTTTTTGAGCATTTTATAACTAATGCCTATAGGACTACAGGCTTTGTTGTTAGAAAGTTGTAGGAGAATTTAAGAAAGTTCTTCATTTGTAATAGAGGAGTTTAGAGATTGATACCAGGTTGGGTTAATGTGAGGGAGTAGAAGATAATGTTGTTGCCAAAAATTAGCAAAAAGAATTTTATTAATAGGTCTAAATACAGTTCAGTTATGAAAATGTGATTGAACATGCTGTTTAATAAGTAATGAATCAGTTATAAGCTCATTAGGCAATTTTATATTAGAGAAATGAACAGGTTGATGATAGTGATTAAGGATGCTATTGATAGCTTGTGTAGGATGTGTTATAAAAGTAACACATCTTTTGTTAGTAGTTTTGTTGATTTGTTGTCGAAGTAGGAGAGAGTTTTCAAGATGATAAGCATGAAAAAGTTGTGTTCAGATAGAGTAAGCATATTGAAGCAATAGTTGAGTACAAAATGGGTTGGTGAAGTTAAGTGGTTGAAGGTCACATTGTGATTGTTTGTTAATTTGAGAAATATTTTGATTAATGTTAGAGATGTTAGAATATTAAGTAAGTTTTTTAACAAGTTTAATAGTGTAACTAAGTTTTTTAAAAGATAAATGTAATAGAGTACTGTAAGGTAAGTATTGATAATTGTAGCTACATTTACAAAAAACTTTACTAAGGATGGTGTGAGTAGCAGAGTAAATAATAAAGCATTGAATTTTGTGCCAAGTTGTTTTAATGCTTTTATTAGTTTCACTATTGATAGGAGTTTTGTGCAGTAAGAGTTATTGTAATAAGGTGTTTGCAAAGGATTCCTAGTTTTCTGCAGACATTATCTTGTAGTTAAAGATGCAGTAACTAATACCAGTATGTTTACATAAAGGTTTGCTGTAAGTATGTGGAAATGTTTATATAGAGATAAGAATTAGATGGTCACTAGAAGTTAAGGTTTGGCTATTATCAAGACTGTAAGAGAGAAGAAATTATATATTGAATTGGTCAGTCAAATATAGTTAATATAACTACTACTAGCATTATTAGACCAGGTAAAATGTTTGTTATTAAAGTGAGCTTCAATGTTATACATATTGGTGTTATTAAGAAAGTTGATAAGTTTGTATTTAAAAGAAAAATTGTTCATGTCATCTTATATATTAAAATCACCAAAAATAATAGAGTAGATATGAAGTTAAAAAGCTTGTTGAATTCAGTTAATAACAATATTTTGAGTTTGATTTTGAGTAAATATGTCAGTTGATAACAGGTACACTAAGATAATACAGAGTTTAATATTATTTCAAAAGAAAATATCAAGTGCTATTGCACCTCTAGGATGGGTATGAATACTGTAAATGTGAGGTTTAAGATTATTGCAGATCATAATAGCAGTGCCTTTAATAGAAGTAGGAAAGTTAGACCAATAGTAGATAAAAAAGTTATTATTGCAAAAGAAGAGATTAGTTTTGTCAGAAATTTTAGTTTTAGTAATGCTTGCAATAGATATATTGTAGTTAAGGCAATAACTTGGCATGCATCTCTTTTGGTAAGTTCATTGAAGTCTCTAACATTATGTGTAGCAATAGTTAAATTAAGATAATGTGAAGTTGAATTGGATAAAGATAAGAAAGAATTACAATTAAGGATTAAAGAATAGTTGTCAAAAAATAAATCAAATGGGATAGAAGTGGGATTAAAAGAGTTGGATCTGAGAAAAAGATTATAAAATATAGGAAAAAGGTATGGGGCAATAACAATATGATTTGATAAGAAAGTGTCATTAGGAAGATACTATATATATGGGTTTTATTATAAAATAAATTAACAGAAAATGTGATGTTAGATACAGTTTTGTTGTTGTTATTTTGTCAATGAGTTTAATTAGGGTTTGAATAGTTTGACTATAAGAGAGAAGTGATAAATAGTAATAAAGAAGGAATTTGTTAAAGCATGTGTAAAAATTATAGGAGATTAAAGATGTTGTAAATAATCTTTCAAAATTGTCTTCTACAGAGTTAATCACTGTATGCTTAGCTCTTACAGCTGTGCAAGGTACCATAGTTTGCCCTGTATGTTGGGTCTGACTATTATTATCCTGGCCTTTCATATAAATAGACTTATTCATCTATCTACTTGTTTCATTTTCCTTATTAACTACAATGGTTGTATTTTTTAATAAGATAGTGGCTGCTTCAATATTGGTTGTAAAGGACAAAAAGCTTAAAAAAGAGACTATAAAAAAAGAGCATCAAGAATAAAGATTGGTTTAAAATCAAGGTTGAATTTTTTTGATAAAAATTTTTTAGCTACTGAATAAGTAGTATCATTAAAATATATAACAATTTGTAAATAAGTTGGTTTTTAGTTTTTAATAACATCAAAGTATGTAATGATTTGGATAAGGAATTTGGTATCAATAATGTTTTTTGTTAAAAGATTGATAGCCTCTTCCTTGGACAGAGACTGTATGTTATAATTTTCAGCAGCAGTTTGGTAATAAAGGAAGAAATATCAATAGAAATAATAATTACAATGTTTGAAATTAGTTTTAATTTTGTTTGTTTACAAACAAAGTCTTCAGCTTGATTAGCTAATTTGTCCAAAGCTTTGATAGGGATAGGTTAATCAAGTGAGGCTGTATGTTTCTTGTTTTTATGAAATAGTATAGTATTAAGAGTTGGATAAATCCATGTTTCATCATCCTAAGATGGAAATAAT